TGTAAATTTTAATCATTGAAATGCAAATACTGAAATGCAGAGAGAAAGCACATGAGTAATGTGCAAGGTGAATTAAATATTTATTCCAATAAAATTATTCATAAAGGGCTGCTTGAATTTTAGCACTATGAAAAATATAGTTAAAAGAAAAATTTTATGTTGGCACAAAAAATGTAATGAGGAAACATACTTTATGCTATCTAAAGGGGAAAAATTATTAAAATTGGTATTTGCATTTATCACTTTATTTAAATTTAAGCATCTTGTGTCAATTTTGGGGGTAACAAAAACCTTCTTTCTAACCTACTTTATCTACTTCAAATAACACTCAAATCATAATGAAGCAGCATATATTTTCATTAATGAAACAAATTTACAACAATTTTCTACAGATTCAGAAAAAGAGGGCATATCTTTGATTAATGTCTCTTTGAGGGAAGTCAAGAGTCTGAACTACAGCAGAAAAAATTAATTGCATTACTTCATATAAGACTCTCTTCAACCAAGATCTTTTTCTTTTAAAGTTTTAAAAATAAATTAGGAAATGCATTTTTTGAATGTGGTGCTTTTTAATGAGCATAGTAAAATTATTCTGAAAAAGGCTTTGGCAAACTTTTTCTGTAATATTCCAGAGAGTAAATATTTAAGCTTTATGGGCCATTTGATTTCTGTTGCAACTACTCAATTCTGTCATTATTACAAAAAAGCAGCCGTAGACTATATGTAAATGAATGGGTATGGTTGTATTCCAATAATCACTGCTGTGGCCATAGTTTGCCAGACCCTTTTCTAAAAAGTCAATGATCTGTATTTTGATTAAATATCAGGAGTAATTTTTAGTACATATTTAAAATGTTCCAGCTGAAATAAAATCCACTGGAAACAAGTAAGGGATACAAGGATAATGCTATTATGCTATTACTGAATAATATACTGTTCTTGTGTTTTAAATAGGCTGAAGTGGGTCGTTTTGTAAGTCCCTACTTCTCCTTTGAGAAGCAAGCATGTTCTAGTGTTGGATATGTGCAATCAATCATTTTCCATCCGAGTCTGTGTAATTGAAAGATAAGTACCCTTACAGTTAGAGGTACCTAAATTTAATTTTAGGTTACAGGTATAAGGGCTTGCAGAACGTATCTACTATACTGAGTCTCGGTTTTACCATTTGTTGCTTTGAAGACTAAATTATTTATATATAGTGCATTTAAAGCTCCAGACACATAGCAGGTACTCAAGAAACAGTAAGTACTTTCCCACTCTCTTCAAATTTTTATAAAAATAGCATATCTGTTATTTTAAACCTGAAGGAAGAATCACAGACTTTTTCTTCAATACTGCACTGTGGTGGCAGGAAGAGAGAGCTTGGAGGGTGAAGCGGAAGACAGTTTCTTTCCTGATTTTCTGGCTTTTAAATTTTTTTTTTCATTCTTTCCTCAAGTGAAAGAAGACATTGTCATAACACATGGAATTCGGAATGGTCTGAGGATTAATCCTAGCTAATATATATTGCTCTTACTGACTCACCTGGAGAAGAATATCTCGCAGTTCAGAATAAGACAAAATCACAAATTATTAGAATAATCTAGAAATTCACAGTCTTAGCTGCAAAAATCATGCATAAACATTAATTTTCTTTACTTAACCTTTTATAGTTTGATTATTTTTCAAAACTCTCTATCAAGGAGAAAGTCTTAAATTAATTTTCTTAAGTGAAAAAATGTGAAACAACATTGATCAGAAATTAACTTCAATGCTAAATTCATGATCACATACTCCAAAGCAATAAAGGGGCATATCTGTATGAAAACTATCAAAAAAGACACATTTCAGGAGAAGTTAACATTATTTCATAACAACTTACTGGGCTGATTTTACACCGTGGAGGTACAGAATACTTTGAAAAATTGAGATACCTTTTCCACATACTTAACAAATGATCCTGAAAAGGACAAGACAGAAGCCAAACAGAAACCATTATAATTACAAGCCATAAAATTTTATTATGCAAAGTGACTGCATACACTTAATGGATGCAAATAACTGTTACCACAGTGATTTATAATGACCCCAACTATTTTCATTTAGATAAATGATGTGTTAAAATTTTGTTAATTAGCCCTTTCTGCTTAACTGCATTCTGGTTATATAGTCTTTACTATTTACAGATTCAAAGGATCCCGGTATGGTACCTTTCACTGTCTAACAATAAAAACCCATTTGTTTATTCTGAGACAAGTATTTCAGAAATTGTCTGAGGTTCAGAAATCAACTTCCTGGATTTGTCTGGTCTCACAGTGACCTATCTCTATCCACAGATCTCCTTTCTTCCATTCTTTGTTCAAATATATGTTATATATATTTCCATTAGAAAAATAAAAGAGGTTATTTGAAGAGAAAGCCTTTATAATGAGGAACAGATTTTTTGAAAATAATAATAAGCTGGACAGATCACCTTATGTTTTACACTTCAGGAGATTATTCTTTTTTTCATTCCTAATGTGGGAAAAACATTCATCAATAGGAAGAGGAAGCATTTGGTTAAAACAAGATTGTAATATATCCAGAATTACCTCGTAGTGTTTGAGTGTCTATTTACAAGTATCATTCAATACAGGACACTCCTCCCCAACCCCCACCCACCATGTCTCTCAGGTAAGGTTGCCTATTAATCAAAGCTTAATCTCTGCTACTTTTCTTTCTTATTCAGGCTCCCTTCTCCCCCTCCTCACTGAAGACTCCTGTCATCAGAATATGTCATCATAGGGGATGTCTTCATCCCCTCTCACCTCCTATGTTACAGAAGCTTCCTAACTGGCTTTTCTTACTTCAAACATCATACATCAATAAGATGAAACTTCTGCAGTTTTAATAATGGCTTTTTTGTACTCAAGTATCTCTATGAAGCCTTCATGTATTTACAGTATCGCCTATCCTCCTGAAGTTTGCGTTTGTGCCTTTCCACCATAGGGATCAGTCTCTCTCTAGACTCACTTTGATTGTCTCTATATGAATCCTACCCTCCAACTAAAATGGGATCTTCATTTGTGCCCATGTTTTTTTGGGGGGAGTTATTCAAGCTATTTATTCATCTGAAAATTGTGATCTCTATTTCCCTCACCTATTGACGTATTGCATCCTCAAGCTCCCATCTCTAAACACATATCCTCCATTAAACCTTCCCAGAGTTATTTATTCTCCCTCCCCTAAATTGTATAATTAATCCTCTTACCTTTCTAATTATATTATATGTTCCTTGAAGGTTCATCTTTATTTTCACTATTGTATCTAGAACAGAACTTTGTACAAATAAAGGGCTGCATAAATATCTGAATTAGGTTACCTCACTTCCAAAATGCAAACATAAAAAGGAATTGACCTTACATTTACTAGAGCAACTGTATGATTAGTGTTTGGAACTTCTATTCGGGATGTTTTTGATAAAGACTTTGAAATGGTTTTTGAACTTTAGAGTGGCCTGTCAAGGCCTTCCTAGAAGTAAAAAGAATAATAAAGGGTGACAAAAAAAACCATAATACCTAATATGCTTGGCCTTCATATGGTGTGATGCCATATGAAGAGCTGAATCTGCCATACGAGGAGCTGAATAAATCTGATATAAAGAAAAATAACTTGGTCAGAAATTATTTTTGGAAGGTTTCTAGTGGAACAAATGAGAAATAATTAAATGTCTATTGGGTCACTTAAACTCCAGTACTAAGAGCAATGAAATAATTGTGAATGTGTTATCTTGCTGCAGGAAATTTTGCAAGAATGGAAGTAGGCACTGTTAGAGAAGTTTGATAATTTTGTGTATGTAGTTATTCATTTGTTTTGTGTTTATTCAGTTACTGGTTATTCATTTAAATTTTACTCAAACAAATCATCTTATCTAAATCTCCTTTCTTGTATAAAGAACAGGAAGCATTATGTCACAACAAGTTGTCTTGAAATGCAATTTCACGTTTACAGTTATGGACCCCTTGGCGTGAGAGTACTATCAGCCATTTGTTTTTCAGAGCTGAATCATCAGCAAGAATGCAGCCCTCAATTATGTCCTTGTTCTTAGCGAAAAATTGAATCTATCTTCTGACTATATATCGCTGTCAGAATACAGGAACACACTAAAGGAAAAAAAACAAACCCTGATGATTGTCTCTATGTTTACACACACTTACTGTGCCTTAGTGTAAAGCTGATCAGTTTTAAAATTCCTTAATAAAACCTGCCTTAAACTTATAATAAAATGCATCCAATGAATTGTCTAATTCCTACTTATATCAAAACTTTATATTTAATTAGATTTACTGGGGAATTTTTCTCTTTCTCTACTGAATTCTCAGGAAATCTAAGTACTTTTCTTTCCCCCAGAAAGCACTTGGGATTACAGGAATTAATTTCAAGTGAGCCTAATTTTGTTCATGAAATCCAAGAATAAATAAAATATTACTATGCCATTGTAAATCCATGAGAATAAAACTGCGCCAATCACATTTTTCATTTTCAGAACTTCTAGATCCTGGTCACATAGTAAGAGGATGGGTCTATATAAAGTCATATTTTTCCAAATGTTCCTAAATTCTTTTGCTCCAGTTATCCTCCCCATCCTTTGTATTTACTTTTTTGGTCTATATTAGTTTTAAAAATATTTAAAGTGTGTAGGAAATAGATGTCCCAGTGATTCCATTAAATTAAGACATAACTCACCTAGAGGAAGAGGATTTTTTAAAAATTATTTTTCAAAATGGTAAAACTACTACTTGAAAGGAGAAAGAAACAGAAGTTGGACTGCATCAATATTGAAAATAAGCTCTATTTCATTTTTTGTAAAGAGAGATTAAATGCATTAATTTTACCTTTTCATTCTTATTTTTAGAAATGAGATTTGTACATCTCTCTTTCTGATATGCATATTTAAATAAAACTGCTCAAAATACCACTGGCTTTGAAAACAAAGTGCTTATTCTGATGATATATACAAGAAATGTATATAGAAAAGCATCTTTCATGTTTTTATCAATTTTATTTCCACCTGTAAATATTGCCAACATTTAATGCCAAATGAATGAAACACCAATGAGAAAATCAAGGATATTTATGTCAAACATTTTTAAGTATTTTAAAATATAGTCATGCTCAGATGCACTTGAAAGAGTCTCAAAATCAAAACCGCCCTATGATTATGGGAAGGCTATAGCTGAAAACATGGAAATAGCCTTAATACATTTTAGTGAAGTATTTTATTCTTCATGAGTACTTCATTTTTTATTTATCCCTAAATGAATGTTCACCTTAACAATATCCATCAATACTCAGTGTTATAGAGATGAATACAAGAATCATCTGTAAATGAATATATAAATGGCCAAAGTTTAATTTGACTCTCCATCCAAAAAAAAAAAAAAAAAAGCAGCATAGGTGAATATTGGGCATAATTGTTCAATTCATGCTTATTTTTCAGAGGTTGTAGGCAAAGTGAAAAAATTCAGATTTAGCTGAGATACACAAAATGAAAAATATTTAGATTAAAGAGAAAAAAAAATAGCACATATTTAAGACCATATCCTCAATTTCACCTGCAATTAATTTGTCAGATAATTCTTTAACCATAATGAGTAAATACAAATACTGTTCCTCAATACTTTTGTTAATTTAAGAACTACAACACTCTCACAGAACACTAAAAAAAAAAAAAAAGATTATTTCTTTCTGCATTTAAATTCATTGTTGATAGATTTTACCATTTCAATTTTAACCTCTTTATACTTCATAAGTGCTATGAGGCAGAGAATAAAATGGTTAAATGTAACATTTTTCTTGATTTAAAATAAATGACTTTGGTGGTTTCCATCCAAGTTTGCAAATCACCCACATAGTTTCTAAATTTAATTGGAGTTCTATTTAATATTGTGTCAGAAAATGTATTGGATTAAAATACAGGTAAAATTTGGCCTTTTCATAAGTCTTCTGTAATTGATAAATAATTTAAAAATAAGTTAATCTCTTGTTGGGAGTAAAACTTCTTGGAAATAAATCCAAGGAATTCATGGTTTTATGTTTTTAACTAACTGCATTCCAAACAGGGCATACAAATAAAAAGCAAGAAGAAAAAACAAATTAACAATCTGTTCTAGGCAAAAAATTGTTACATAAATATTAGGTAGTAGTCTCCCATTACAAACAATGATCGATTATATTTAAACAAAATATGTATTAGAATTATTCCATGTTTAATATATGAATCATAGAACTCATAATAAATTCAAAATCTTGATAGAATATAAGTAAATTTTTAAAAATTAAAGTAAAATTATATAATAGTATTCTAACGTACTGGATTTTGCCACTAATCATTTTCATATAAATTTAAGTAAATGAATCTAAAAGCTGCTACTTTACTTACCTATGAAGGCCTTAAAATAGTTACAATACTATTCACATTTTCACCATTCGTTTCTCTGCATTTTAAATATAAACTTCATGTTACTGAAGTACAAAAGATTATATTGGATGTAGTCAGACTTCTTATGATTTTTGCCTACTGAGTAGCATTTATAAGTAAAGATAGCCAACCCAATAAACCAGATTGAACAGGGCAAAAGCTGTTGGGAAAAATATTCGTGAATAGGAGTCAATTTTGGCAATGCGTATGTGTATCCTTCCTTCCCTCCAAGATCCTGTTCTGCAGTCTTCAAAGCAACAGAAGAAGCTGGCACAATCCTTGCCCTCCAAACACTGATACCCATAATCATCTTCTCCTTGCAGCACAGAAATGCTATTCATTGGAATCAGAGTAGATCCAGGATGAAGACCAGAGGACATCTGAATAAAATAATAAATGAGTTTTTCAGACAAAAAAGGTAGCAGAAAGAAAGATAAATTTGTCTCATCAAGGCAAACTCTAGGAGGCTATGTGCAATAAACATAATCATGATTCCCAAAAGTTAAGTCGTTTCAATTCTAACGTGTTTTTATATAATAAATTACTTGTAACACAATATTGTTTACCTTTCAAAGAAATGCTCCTGAAAAATAAAATATATTTTATATGTTCAGAAAGTTGATCCACTAAAATAATGTCAACCATGAATCTGATTGTAAAAGGAAAATAAACTGTGTATTTCTATGTTATTTTACACTAAAAATTTGCAATGCCATAAATATGTATATTATATATTATGTATTTATCTTTGTAATAATGACAATAAATAGTAAAGAAATCATTTTGATAATGCAAAAGATTTGAGAAACTTTGGATGGACAAAAAAGATATGAGGTTTGTAGTAGTGAATAATCTCAAGATACCATATTTAAGAGAGAGGATGTGCAGGAGTTAGAAACTCAGATTTGGGAACAAATGATGTTCAAAATTCTGCTCACTCTACCAAGGTAGCTATCATCATAGCTGAAATCTAATTTTTGTGACAGCTGTAATGAATAAATTTTATAAGTTATGTAAAATGATTAGAGTTCTATCTTTCCCAGTAATGAAAGCTAACATTATTATCAGGATTATTCAGGATGCCTATCAAATTAACTTTTAATGAAACCCTGTTCTGAATTATACTGGAAAAGTAGAAAGAACTTTAAAAAGTATTATAAATCAGTCAAGGCCAGAATACTTTGGAACAATAAGGCAAGCACTTCAGTGTCAGACAAACTTGGGCTGAATTTCTAGCTTTGTCCAGTAGAGTTGTGTAAACTTGAACAGGAAATGCGACTGCTCATTTGTCTCTGTCTTCGGCTGTACAAAAGTCATAATAACAACACTGTGCATCTGTTTGATGATTAAATGAGATGGTGCACATAAAGCACCAAGCAAATTATCTGAATCATAGCAAGTATTCAAATGTCAGTAGGTAATATTTGTTGTTGTTGTTACTGTTATTGTCATTATCAATTCCTGATGAGAATATATCACTATCTACGGTAAAACAAATGCTAAACAAAACAAACATACAATTATAATAAAAAAAAAAACCTGAACCTCATCAAAAATGTAACTGAAAAAAAAATGAATGAATCCTTGAATAAAGTGGCAGGTAAAATATGAATGAAGACTGCAGTTTTAGTAATTCTTTATCCCTCAGAACTTCTACATGTATCATGGGTTATCTTAAGATGTAAATCTCACAACATGTTATAACTGTATTATGATCAAAACACTAAATACCAGAATATTACCTTAATTTGATTATCACATATTTTATACATGTATTAATACATCAACTGTACTCCATAAAAATGTAAAATTACTATAAGTTGATTAAGTATAAATGAATAAATTTAATAAAAATACAACACTGAGCTTGTAAGATGGTTTTATTCTGATATTAAATTCTTTCTAATGTAAATGTTAATAAAATGTTTTTATCCCAAACTAAAAACAAACAAACAAAAAATCTAAAAGCCATGAAAATAAAATATTTTATGGGACAGAGTTTGAAAATTAAACACATAAAATAAGAATTTCTTGAAATTTGGACCTGTATTCAAACCCATTTTATTTCTTAAAAGAAACATATAATGTAAGCCACTAGATATTAAAAATTCAGTAGATGCAAAAAGAAGCAAATAATCACATTCAGTGATATTTTAAGAAGATAAAAAGCATTATGCAGGTCACGATATCCATAATAGAAAAATAATGTGCAGCTTGAAGATAAGGAGCAATACCCTAATCACAAATAAATTCATGACTACACTTGCTTAGACATATCATAAAAAGCAGAGGCAGTCTATTATTAAATGTTAATGACAGATTTTTAAAAAATAACACTTGGGGATACTTGACTAGACTTCTAAATTTTAGTGCAGCACTAAAATTATGTGGAAAAAAAAGAGAAGAAAAGGAAAAAGACAGATGTTCATCTCCTTGTCACTTAATACTTAAATAGCATGTGTTCATATGTGAATCAGAATGAAAAATGATTAAAATACATTTATTAGTTTGTAATTTTAAGGTTATTCAACAGAAAAGACATTCTATGTATTATTCAGTGCTTCCAAGAATGGAAATGCACTGTGTTTGTCAGAAGATATCAGTTGTGCATGAGAGAGATGATCAAACAGTAAAGTGCACAAAAGTGGAGAAAATCTGCAAGTGGTTCATCTAAAAAACAGACTGATCTCTGGTAGCCAATAACATGGAGAACTTCTACTGCAGTAACATTTTAAATTGACAATATTCATCCCTCTGTGCTTTGCTTATTTCACTCAACAGAAGTTTCTCCAGGCTCATCCATGTCACTGCAAATGGGAGAATTTTTCATTTTTCATGGCATAGTAGTATTCCATGGTGTATATATACCACAGTTTCCTTAGCCAATCATCCACTGATACACATTTAGGTTGGTTCCATATCTTGGCTATTGTGAACAGAGATATGATGAACATGGGAGTGCAGGTATCCCTTCGACATGATGATTTCCATTCCTCTGGGTATATACCCAGTAGTGGGATTGCTGGATTGTGTGGAAGATCTACCTGTAGTTGTCTGAGAAACCTCCATACTCTTTTCCATAGTGGCTGTACTAATTTACAGTCCCACCAACAGTGCAGGAGTGTTCCCTTCTCTCCACATCCTCACCAGCATTTGTTATTCTGTCTTTTTTATTATAGCCAGTCTAACTGGGGTGAGATGATATCTCAATGTGGTTTTAATTTGAATTTCCCTGATGACTAGTGATGTTCAGCATTTTTTCATGTACCTGTTGCTATTCGTATGTCTTCCTCTGAAAAATGTCTATTCAGCTCCTTTGCCCATTTTTTTATTGGGTTATTTGTTTTTTACTGTGTAATTGCTTGAGTTCCTTGTATATTATGGATATTAATCCCTTGTCGGATGCTTAGTTAGCAAAAATTGTCTCCCACTCTGTAGGTTGTCATTTCACTCTGTTGAGTGTTTCCTCTGCTGTATAGAAGGTTTTTAGTTTGATATAGTCCCATTTGTTTATTTTTTCTTTTGTTACTTGTGCTTTTGGGCTTGAGGAGAGAAAGAAGGAAGGAAAGAAAGACTACAGTGAGGCATTGGACTTGCAGAGGGAGAGAACATACTCAGGGATACAAAGTGGAGTTGGGAAAGAAAGATGGGAAGGGTGGTCAGGGACAATTGCAGGAACAGGGGATATAATAACAATTTGTGGTAATGGGCATGCTGCCAGTATGGATCTGGCCATCACATCTTAGGCATGAGTGGTGACAATTTGCTCTGTACCCCCTGAATATTCATAACCAATAACGTGTGTGTGTGTGTGTGTGTGTGTTTAAAGGGCATTCATATTTCTTCAGTTAATAATGTAAAAAAGACTGCACAGATATGGTTAAATTTCCTCAACCCTTAGGTCTTTAGGGATGGACTGAATGTCTGCTTACAAAAGTATCTCAAATTTGATGGGGTGCATGTTGAAAAATAAAGTTTATATCTTAAAAAAAATTGATAATATTCCAGTTTCTGGCTGTTCCCCTCCCCCAAACAAAACAAATTTATAAATTGAAAGACTCTACACATCAATTAATGATGAATGTGAACAAAAGTAAACTTTTTACATGCCGAGAAAAAGAGCCAAAGACCTGATATAATATTAATAAAATTAAATATTATTGACACAAGGATTTCTGGCCTGAAAACCATTGAAAGATTAATCAGAAGAATACATACATTCCAATCCTTATTTATCTAAGTGCAAATACACTTATAATTATTCAAGTATAGCCTTTGCTGTCCCCCAAAATAGATTACTATTTTTAAAATTAGGGGTTTTTTTTAAATGAGCGTTTTCCTCAATGACTAATATGTTCTCTTTCAGCTATCATAGCCTATGGTGCTTTCGGTAGGAAGAAATATGAAGGAGTGTTATTTAGAAGCTAAAGTATAAAAAGAGCTATCTGTGGTGGTATCTATACCCCTCCAGAGGAGCATAATATGACCATTGTCACAACTGATGATAAACAGTTACTCTGACACTTGAAAGTATCCCACTATCCACTGACTTCTTATAATGATTTAAGTAGTCTTCTTGCTGTATTTCACATTTCACCATTATCATATAGTCCTTCCTGGGAGCTTTGCCAAATGCCATTACATGAAAGAATCTTTATAATTTGTGAAACTGTGGATTGACACAGCTTTACATTATTCTGATACTCTGAAAGGTAGGCAACTGTTTATTCATATAGATATGCACCGCCTGAAAAGAAGATCTGTCTTTGCAAAGAAGGGACAGCAGGGTGGAGATTGGGGACCAAAAAAACACATTATGTTTACCCCGATACTTTGGGTCCTGTTTCACTAATATATTACTTCTTGAACTACTGCAAGAGTATCCAAATTTATCCACCTGCCTCACTCTATGCTATTTCTAACTATCTTTCAAATTTGTAGATAGAAATATGGCACTCTGTTTAAAAATGTTCATGACTTACCAGTGATGTGGCAAGATGAAATCTAAATTCATAGCATGGTAGTGGAGACTTTGCACAACGTTGCCATGAACCACTTTTCTATCCTCAACATGGGTTATTTTCTTTCCTAAGCTTCCTATTTTCTAGACCAATGCTGTCCAATAAAACTCGTTCTGGGCTGTCCAATATGGTAGCCATTAGTCACATGTGGATATTGAGCACTTAAAATGTGATTAGTGCTACAAAGATACTGAAATTTAAATTTTATTTAATTTTAGTTAATTTAAATCAACCTAGCTATACATGGATAGTGGCTACTGAATTGGACAACACAGCTTGGGACATATACTAGTCTACTTTGTGTTCTCATATGTAAGCCTCAACTCAGCTGACATGGTTCCTTCTGTCTTAAATGTTTTTCCTAATTAATTTTCCTGAAAATTGCAACTTATTCTTCAAAGAATTACCTCAATGATGTCACATATTCTCTGAAATTTTCTCTGCCAAACTTTCTTTGCAAAAATTGGTTTACATGCTTTTTGAATGAATTATTTTCACTTAAAATGAAAGGAAGCCTCCCCACTCCACCATGACCCACATTGACATAAGCATCTTCCAAACACCATGTGCCTACAAAATCAGTGCTTCACAGAACATATTACATGGTGTCTCAAGATTTCCTTGGATGCTAGGCATACGCCACATAGGTAGAACTTGGTGGTATCTGTCTATTTATACAAAAACAGTCTTACAAAAATATATTTTATGTTTTCATATAAAAAATATTCTACTAAAAAAAACATGATAGGGCCGGCCTTGTGGCTCACTCAAGAGAGTGTGGCACTGGTAGCGCCGAGGCTGTGGGTTCGGATCCTATATAGGGATGGCCGGTGTGCTCTCTGGCTGAGTGTGGTGCGGATGACACCGTGCCGAGGGTTGCAATCCCCCTACCAGTAAAAAAAACAAAAAAAACCCACCATGATAAACTACTCATCTAATTGTTAATTCCCTCACAGCCTATTTGTTTACTTTTGATTTTTATATTAGAATGTCGTTTACATTGTATTTTATTATCTCATGTTTGAAATTCTAACGTATTTTTCCACACCTATATTTAAAGATCCCTGAAAGCAAAGAGCACATTCTATCTCTTTTTGTCTCCAAAGTGCCTTGCCCATAGTTGGTGAAATAAATTTCTCTTATTTTACATTTTAGCTGAATTGAGAGCCTAAAAATAAGTAAGGTCTATCCTCAAATGGGTACACCAGGCCCCTGATGTAGATATAACATGGTTTCTTATATTCTATGGGCTGAACGTTCAAGTTTCAACATGAACTACTCTTAGATTTTCTTGAAGATAAATGTTGACACAAATACACCTGAATCAATTATTAATGAGTGGTGATAAAAATAATATATTGGATGGGAACACAAATCAAGTTGAAATGTCATTAACATTCAATGACAAAAAAAGAAAAAGAAATATGGAAATAGGGGAAAGGGGAAGAAAGGAAGGAAGAGAGGGAATAAAAAGGAAGAAAAGAAGGCAGGAGGGAGGGAAAAAGGAAAGAAGGAAGGAAAGACAGATGAAAGAAAGAGACAGAAAGATTGAAAGACAGATAAAAAAGAACGACAAAAGAAAAAAGAGATGAAGACAGAAAGAAAGAAAGTCTAATATTTCCTGTGGAGAGTAAGGGAGAAAGCATCCTTATTATGTTTTTCTTAGAGGATTCATTGATGCTAAAATCTATTGTGTTCAAATATCATCTCTTCCTAAAGAAAACAAGTCAGGGTATTCTGGGATTCTCAGTTAGGCAGTCAAAGAGATGTCAAGAGGGATTTTAGTTTTGCTTAATAATCGACATGTTGACCTTTTAGTGACTCTATCCTCGCCCAACTATTGCTATAAAAAAAATTAGGGGGAAAAAAAGGTGAGGGGGGAATGCTGAACTTCAAACTACTCAGAATTTTGAGCGTATTAAGGAAAATGGGGAAATGGAAAGAAAAAGAAAGAGGAAGGGGGGGTAGAAAATCACAACTATTTAAAACAGGCATAATGTCAAAATGCTGCAAGGTCTCTGGGTCGTGGTTGCACATTTGATTGTCCTGTTTGGAATAGAAGAAACAGATTCCACAAAGGCCTTAAATTGAGAATTTGACACAACAGCAATCAGAGCTATCTATTCTTTAATGAAAGTACTCCCTGATTTACCTGATTAGCAAAAGCATCTGGCTGAACACTGAACCAGGCAGGCAGTCAGATTTTATTAATGATCCTGGTTTTTCACTCATAATGTTATTTAGTACTGAAAGAGCTCATAAAGCATGTAACTGAATGAAGAAAAAAAGACTATAGAATGTCATTTTGGGATGGCTATAAAAAAATACTTTTGGCACTCTGGTAGTCAATTATCATGTCAATTAAGTGTTGCTATTTGCCATTTAGTGCTTCAAAGCTATCACTGAAATTTTATTCTGCGTTTTTCCATCTTTAGTATTTTGCATTCTGGGCTTGATGCTAAATTTTAAAGACTCAACATATAGATTTTTTTTCTTAAATAACTATTCTAGAACAGCGCCTTGAATATGGAAGTTCTTAATAAATAGGTAGTGAATGAAGGACTTAATGACATCATAATTTTAAAGTTTGCACTCCAATGTTTCTGCTCTACTGAAAAAGTAACATCTGGAACTGTGGTTGAGAGTGCATGATCTGAGTCAAACTGACTGACTAAAGCCCTAGAGTAGACACTATTTGGAAGTGTGTCTTTACATAATATAGTAATAGTTCCTACATTATATGTCCTTGGAATGTAATTGGAGATGGTCCATTAACTGACTTTAATGTTAGTTAATTTTATTTTAAACATTTCCAATCAAAATATATAGAAGTAAAAATTTCAAGGTATTAATTCATCATAACTATGGATAGTAAATGATGAAATGGGAAATCCAGAGAGGATGCTTGGCTTTGATTAAAGGAAAACAATGAAAACCCTTCATTTTTCTTTACCTAAAAATTTAGCAGTTGATATTAAATTTGACATCACTTCCCATTGATGATTTGTCCATTCAGGGGCCACAATAAGTACCGTGGATAAGCTGAAATGATGTCAAGTTGAGAAAGTCACAAGCTAATTCTACAATGCAAGTTCTCAAATTTGTACTGCCAGCAATGTGCTCTTATTTCTTGGAATATTTTGAGATTCTGAAAGCAAAATATATCAGGGTTTGGCCTTTGAAATATAATACGAAAATTAAAATATGAAAGTATGGCAACGTTTTATAAAGAAGCTAATGAAAAAATAGGGGAAGGGAAAACTTCATGGCTCATTATATACACACTATGGTAGACTTATAAGCTTGCCACCCATGCATAGCTATTTTATACAGTTCTCATTTATTTTAGTATTTTGGAACAAATCTACTTTGAAAAAAAATTACTGGAGTCAGCGATGAAGTATCTTTTTACTCATATTGGTGAATAAATGTTTACTTTTCTGAGTCCAGTGAGAACAGGCAGTATAAAGAAAGAGTTACAAGCTTGAGCTCTGGCACCAAAAAAGATCTGGGTCTGAGTCTTGGATCTGTCACTTACTAAGGCTGTCCTTGTGCAAATCAATGAACTTGTACTTACAGGGTTGCTCTGAGTGTAAGTGAAATCATGCATGTAAAATGGTCAGAGAAGTATCTGGAACACTCAATAAGTGTTAGATATTGCTTTCTGGCTTTTAAAATAGCTCATAAAAAGAAAGAGTAGTCAATCATCCAATTCTTTAGTATAGTAGAATCAGTAGAATTAATTTTAACATATAAATTTGATACAGTGTAAGTTGAAGTAGATAATCTGAATGAAAAGGGAGAATAAGGTAGTACAGATATACAAAAACCAAGAACTTTACAGCTGTGACTTTCAAACACAGGTAGATGCTAACATTAAAGATAAATCTTTATCTCTAAAAGTAAATTAATTTTGTGGGTAACTTATCATTAGAAACCCAAATCCTAACACAAAAAATAGAATAAAAGAGAAATCTTAAATAATGTTTAGGTACAAAAAAAGTACCAATTGTGAAAAATTTCATAGCATAAGAAAACATTATTTACACTGATGATCCAATAGGGGATACTAGGGAAGTATAAATACATTTTTCTTGGCAGGCAATGTTAGGTACTCCAGTTTCACCTTACTTTTATTTATCTTTTGTCATGATGCCCTCAGCATCCCCATTACTCTAAGCAAATATAACACAAATACTCAAAACAGTATCCCCATGTAAGTTAGGGTTAGAGGTTTTTTTGTAACATACCGAGGATTTGTTTTTTAGCTTTCTTTCCTTAGTAGGTTTTCCTTTTTTGTTGCTGGTAAAATAATGCAAGGTTCCATATTCCATCAAGGCTGCAAAAACGAAAATGAAACAAACAGAAACAAAGAGATCCATTGCAGTCACATAAGACACCTTAGGTAAAGACTTTCTGGCAATTGTACTCAGAGTTGTCATAGTCAGAACTGTAGTGATACCTGTGGAGAGAGGAAAAAAAAATAGAAGTTGAAAAATAACAGACTACTTTTATTCTTCCAACTATTTAGCAATATTGTAAATAGAAATAAACAGTGAAAACAAAAGGATATGATTAGTAATGATTTACACAAAGAATTACTGGTAACCATAGCTACATTAGGCTCAATTCACTCTGTGTTTATGTGAATTTTTTTTTTTTTTTTTTTTTGTCTTTTTTTGTCTTTTTTTGTCTTTTTCCGTGTCCAGCAACGGATCGCAACCCTCAGTGTTGCCCCCGTACCGGACCGGGGACCGGCAACGGGATTGCAACCCTCGGTGTTGCTCCCGCGCCTCGCCCAGCCAGTGAGCAGGAACCGGTCTGTATGTGGGATCCGAACCCTCGGGCGGGAGTGCCGCCACGCTTCCCAAGCGGCGCACTATCCAGTGCGCCACCGGGCCGGCCCTTGAATTTTAATCATTTAAATTACCATGGACAGCAAGTTGACCCCCATACCCATCCTTTCTTCCTCCATAGTAACAGAATAACTAATTGTTTGTGGTTTCCTGGAAGAAAAACTTTATTTGCCACCTTCTCTACGGCTGTGTGAGGCCACAGGCTAAGATCTAGCCAAGAGAAACTAATTCAAGAATGTAAGCAGTGTCCAAAAGGTGGTATTTAAGAGTGGCGAGTGCCTTTCTTTCCCTCCTCCACATTGCAGTCTGTTGGAATGCAGCTAGAGCACCAGCAACCATCTGAGACCATTAGATAACTTGGGAATTAAAATTACCCACAGCACGGTAGAAACCTGAATCCTGCATACGGCAGTGCATCATATCACCTAGGACTACCTACCTTTGGACTTTCACACGAGAAACAAACTCTTCCATCTAATTGAACCAACAGTGATTTGAGGTTTTCTGCCATACACGGTTAAAATGAATCCAAACTAATATAGCGTTTTCTTATATGATAACTTGAATTAAGCCTATTTTTTAATCTCAAAGTTTAAACGAGAGGAGATCAAATGTTCACATCGCAAAGAAGTGATTAAGTTTTGCAATGATGAATATGCTAATAAACCTGATTTGATCATAATACATTGCATACACATATTGGGATATAATTCTGTACTCCATAAATATGTATAATCAATATGTTTCTATTAAAACATGTTTAAAAAAAGAATACAGGCATAATTATATAAAAGAAATATTTTAAAAGTCGATTTTAAAATATTTTAAAAGTCCAGTATATTTTTAAGAATTCAGCATGTATAATTAGGATATCCCCTAGAGCCCCACTCCTGTGCGTGTATTTGGAAGTGTCTGTCTCCCTTTACCCACTGGCATTCTTGTGGTCCTTACCACTGTTAATCTTAGGTACCTGAAATCACAGAGGTAAAAATGGTCCCATGAGTGGAGCTATTTACTCTTTTAAAAGAACTACATAAGGCTGGCCTGGTGGCGCACTGCTACAGTGCGCCGCTTGGGAGCACGGAGGCGCTCCCACCTAGGGTTCGGATCCCATGTGGAGACCGGTTCCTGCTCACTGGCTGAGTGAGGTTCGGATGCGACACCGAGGGTTGTGATCCCGTTGCCAGTCCTGGTCCGGTACGGGCGCGACACTGAGGGTTGCGATCTGTTGCCGGTCACGAAAAAAAAAAAAAAGGAAAAAAAAAAAATTCCTGTTTACAGTATCATTTTGCACACTCTCCAGAAATAAAACAAATAGGGGTTGGCTATCCAAAGATAAATCTTGGCTCGAGCTGTGTCCAAAGCCTCACAAGCACTTTGAATTAGGTGAGTAACCATTTCCTGGGGTAAGGGAAAGGTAATCAAAATGGAAGAGGGATTTGGAGGAAAAAGGATGCAAGGAAACCATGCCCACGTGCCCGGTTAGCAATTTCCGCGATTTTTCCACATATGGAGACACTATAGTTTCCTTCCTCTCTCCTCCTCCTCTCCTTTTTCTTTTTAAATATTGATTCTTGGGCCCTCCAGGCATTCAATGTCTGCTAAAGAGATGGATGAGATAGAGTGGCAACATCTATAATAATTTTAAAAAGTAGAATGGGGTTGCAGCAACAGTCTCTCTAGTATGGTGAAGGCAACAGCCACCTCTTTCCCTCATGTCTCCATTTAAACATGCCCTGACAATTCCTCTCACATGCCCATCTTTTAAGTTTCATCATTTCTTAGGATTAAAAAATATATATATATGACATAGTTGTGAAGAGTTTGGAATCATGATGGCAAATTTAGTTTAGGTTCAATCTCTGACTCCTCCACTTATTAACTCTGTGAATTTAAGGAAGTTTCCCAAATCCTCTGTGCCTCTCATCTAAAAAACTGACATGATAATATCTTGCTTGGCACTTGTAATAAATATGTTCAAAAGGTACCTAATTTACTTTTATGTTCTTAAAGTGTAGATTTCATTTGCTAATTTTACGTCCTTCTTCCTGTCTAATATTAGCATTTTAAAACTATAGTTCCCCTCTAAGCAGTGCTTTAGCTGCATCCCACAAATATCTCTATGTCAAGTTTTAATAAAATTCAGTTTGAAATATTTTCTAATTTCTCTTTGATTCTTAATTGACCCAGGGATTATATAAAATATGACTTTTTAAAAATTTCCAAATATGTGAAGCCATTATTATTTATAGTATTTTTATTAATTTTTAACTTTCATTTTTGTCAGAAACTATACCCTGGAAAACCTAGTACTTTTAACCTTATTGAGATCTTGGTTAATGTTCCGTACAACTTGAAAATATTGTGTATTCTGAAGTTAGGTGTAGTATTCCGTAAACACCAATCAGGTTAAGTAATTCATATGATAATTATCATTCAATGAATCACAATTTCATTTAGATTTGCTACATCCTAATTGATATTTGTGTATTTCTAACAATGAATGAGAAAAGGTTGTTAAAAAATATGTCCAATTATGATTGCAGATCTATTTCTCCCATTATTCCTGACAGTTTTTGCTTCAATTATTTCGAAACCACAACTGTATATAAAATGCTTTGTATATAGTAAGTGTTAAATAACTTCAATGAATGCAAGTCTCCCCTTTCCCTCAATTTCCACACTTTTTAAGGGTAAAACTTATTAAATCACAATGTTCCCATAATCAGACAAAGGTAGATTTCAGAAACTATTCCTGGCTTCCACAATAACGTCCCATTCCTTCTTAGAAAATGTTAAAGCCAATGTGTGGTTTGGTTTTATTATCAATGATCTCGTTACAGTTTAATTTATTAAAATACTATTACATTTCTGTTTCATAAGAAAAGGAAAACTACAGTAGAGCTTAGCTTCCAAACATTTATTTCTTCAGTTTAGTAATTATGATCACAACGGTTAGCCTGAGAAGAACATGGCGGATTTCCTATAAAATACCTCTGAGCCCATGATAATAAGAAAACATTTGGGATATTAAGAAGTTAAGAAGAAAGCATTTTAGATATCATTGCTATTCCTTCCATGTGTTGCCCTGCTCAAGAACTTATAATTGTCTCCCATCAGATTTGGAATAAATTTCAAAGTCCTTACAATGATCCACAAAGATTTATATGATGTAACCACTGGCCACTTTTCCAATCTCATTTTTTACCATTATTCAGTCAGCTCTAGCCACAGTTGTCTTTTTTTTTTCCTTTTTGTCTTTTTTACTGACCGGTAACGGGATCGCAACCCTTGGTGTTGCGCCCGCACCGCGCTGAGCCAGTGAACGGGAACCGGTCTCCACATGGGATCCGAACCCTCGGCGGGAGTGCCGCCACACTCCCAAGCAGCGCACTCTCCAGTGCACCACCGGGCCAGCCCCACAGTTGTCTTTCTGAATCTGGGATGGTGGGGAGGTGCCACTTCAGAACTTGTGGTTCTGCCTGCCTTAACTACCTTGATGGCCACATGATTCATTAGGCCACTGCTCATATGCCACCTCCTTAGAGAGATCTATCCCGACTCTACAATATAAAATAACAAACACTATATCCACCCATATACTCTATCATTCTCTAACCATTTATTTTGCTTTCTCTTCAAAGCCCTATCACTCACTGAAATTTTGTTATATGCTTTTTATATTTGGACATTACTTGTTTTCCCCACTAAAATATAAACATCGTGAACATGAACATTTTATAACTTTGTTCACTGATAACACTGCAGCACTAAGAACACTGCCTGTTTTATAAAAATCATTTGATAAAAGTTTGTTAAAATGTAATGTTGGAAAAATAAGCTCAAGAAATTGTCCTTTAATGATATGTGTATGCATGTATGTATACTTTAAAGAAACTTGATTGTCAAAATATATAGGGCTCGCAATTATAAGAGGTATTCTTCAGGCTATATTTGGTTGTACTTGTCTTTACAATTGATATGCTAATATTTAAAAAATATGATTCATACAAAATTTCAATTCCACAATTAGCTTTTCTTTCATGACACTCTAGCACATGGATTTTATACAAATCCAGTGGTAGAAATAATCCATTAAAATTCTCTTTGGAAAAAAATATGGAACAAAAAAATAAAAATACAATGTTTAAGTTATACTCATAGTAGCATACAAGGAAACTAAAATGATTATACATCTTGAAACATAAAATAATTTGAAATAACTAAAGGAAACAAAATCCAGAAATGAGAGGATTTTGTCCACTAGCTTTGCCAACACCTCCATTTACTCCCAAGCAAACTGCATATCCAAGTATAGAGCTAGGTGCCTCAAGCTTTACTGTTGCTACTTTTATGTGATCTGCATTTTAATAAATTCATTAAATGGAACTATTTACCAGCTATCATAGAAACCATATGAAAACGTTTTTTGCTTGAAAATACAAACGCTCTCAACTTTCTTTAGGCTTTTTAAGGCGTACTTATCAACAGAGTGATTTATGTCTTACACTAATCTTGGGAATTAATCAATAGATTGACACTTTTTTATGTATCAACACATGAATGTAGGTTATCACTTTCTTTTAAAAAATGTATGGGAATTAAACACATTTTCTTGTATGATTTGATTATTGCAATAGATTATTATAGAAAGAGAGAAAAAGTCTATTTTATCAAGTATGAATTACAAATTAGCCTTTTAATCAATGCTATTGTGCAGGCAACTCTCAAATATTCACAGAATAATTACACATTTTGTGTATTACTGAAGCCAGGGAGCTTTGTGTTCCTTTCAGCTACCAGTCCTTTGGAACAGCTGGCTGTTCTTTAGCAACATTACAAGAGGTGAGGATTTCAAAGCCGACTAAACATACGCTATTTTACTAGCCAACTACAATATAAAATAAAATCTTGATGAAAAGTGATTGAAAATATTCACCAAAATAAGATGTAGAGATTTTGTATGAGTTTCATATACTAATTATTATTATTTTTTTTTTTTGACCAGTAAGGGGATTTTAACCCTTGACTTTCTGTTGTCAGCACCACACTGTCCCAGGTGAGCCAACCAGCCATCCCTATATGGAGATCCGAACCGACAGCCTTGGTGTTATCAGCACCACACTCTCCCAAGTGAGCCATGGGCTGGCCCTTTATATACTAATTCTTGCTGTGTATCTAAGCCCTTAACCTCCATTAGCAGAAAAAAATTTTTTTCTGAAATTTCAAGTTATTCACAAGTCTATTTTCTTCTTGTTTTTTACATATTCTTTTAAACATGGTATTGTACTACAGTTTCTGTCAATTTGTGCAATCTAGAGGAATATTATATGTGTATGTATAATATATGCAACTATAAAATTTTATCACACTAAAATGTGTTTTTGTTAAATACTATGACAGTATAGTGTAATATTACATGTCATACCCAGTGATGTTCTTGCAGGGACTGCATCTTTATTGATCCAAAAAGACACCCAAGAAAGAACAACTGTCAGAATGCATGGGATGTAGGTCTGAATAGTGAAATATCCCATTCGTCTGCTCAGGTCAAAAAAAATTGTCATGATAATATAATCCCCTGGAAAAAGAAAAATATGTTTTATTTTAGGTATAAAATGTAAAAAAGTATAGATTCCAATCAATATACTTAAATACAAATGCCATTCAACACTAGCATCATTCACTGATTGTGTTTTCTCCTTCCTTACCAGAGATTGTGTGAGAGATTTCAGTTGAGTTCCTTAACCCTACAAATGCAAACTGATATAATCTCCAGTATTTAGGATCAGCCACTTCTACAGAGGGCTTTTTCCACTTATATTCAATTTCATTTTTCGGGTATCCATCTAGAAAAAAAATTAAAATAAAAAATATATAGATTAGCAAGATCCAAATATGTTACCATTGCAATACCAACATAACCCAAAGACAAACTCTTGGACTTTCTTCCTCATTTTTATTATAGGATATGCCAAATATAGAAAACACTGCACAAAACAGATATGTATAGTTTAAAGAATAATCATACAATGATTAAATAATGATAAGCCATGTAGTCCAGTTAAATGAAGAAGTAGAAACTTGCTAGCATTCAGGAAAGTCCCTGTGTTCCCCCAACATAAAATTCCCCTTCCATCTAGACGTAATGACTATCCTGATTTCCAAGATAATTATCCCCTTGATTTTTATTATAGATTTTTGATATGCATCTCTGAAAAATACAGCTTAGTTTGGGTTATCAACTTCATTTGATTGTTGTCATACCTAATGTATTATTTTGCATCTTCTAATATATTGTGATAGTCATAATACTATTGTATGTAGCTGAATTTGTTCCATGATAAAAATGTACCAAAATTTATTTATCCATTTTACTGTTGTAGACACTTGTAATGTTTCCTGTTGGGTATTATTAATTTGTTGCTAGTAACACTATTGTACATTAACAACACTATTGTACATTATTGTACATGCCCCCATATATATATATATGTATGTATGTGCAAGGTTTCTCTGGTATATATACTTAGGTATGGAATAGCTGGGTCATGAGTTACACATAATTTCAATTTTATGAGATGGCACAAGTATTTTTTTCCATAGAGAGTATGCCAACATGTTCTCTTACCAGACAATGTGAACATTCATATAGATCCATATTCTTATTAATCATTATATGGACAATCTTCATCTTTTACTGGTTAGTGAAATGTGTTTTATTTCACATTTTCTGGATTACTAATAAAACATTTATATGTTTATTAGATTCTTGTGTTTCTTCTTTGGGGAACTGCTTGTTCAATTACACATTATTTTATTGGATTTTTCCTTTTTTCCTGTCTTTTTGTATGAATTCTTCATATATTCTGAATACTAAACATTTGATAGTTATTTGTGTTGAAATGTTTTTTGTCTACTCTATGGTTGTCTAGAATGAAGGTGTGTTTTATCAAAAAGGATATGTTTTTTCTTTCTGCCACATGTCAACACGCTTTTTGGACCAACCAAGTGAAGGAAATTTGGGCTAAAAATCCATTTGAGGGTAGGTTTGTGATTAGATCCTCTCAAGAACAAGTATTTTACCCTGATGTGCTGATTTCAGAGGCACATTTCCTTTTAGCCCTTAGTGGTTGTGTGTGTGTGTGTGTGTGTGTGTGTGTCTGTGTGTCTGTGTGTGTGTGTGTGTGTGGAGAGAGCACTTCTTCATGTGACTCTAAGTGTCCAGACTTTTGTATACCAGCTTTATGTAGAAGTCTCATGTTCTATAAGACTTCCACTCCACAAGGCTGTCAAAACCAAACCTTGAAGTTAATCTTGTTTTGCAAATGTCCTCAGGTTACAATTGGTTGCAAACCTACCTTTCTGGCTTCAACTTTACAGAAACAGAATTTGCTAATCAACTTTTAAAATTTCCATAATAGAATATCATTTTGAACCAGGATCCCTTATCAGCCATATAATTGAAATAGCTGTTATCTCTGCCAACCTATTTAAGAATCTGTTTTCTCTTTCCTTTTCTCCATTTCTTTCTGTTGCTCTCTAGGGCTCTAATCGTCTTGCTTTTCCATAGTTCCTTTTTTTATTTTTATTGTAGAGGCAATACAGTATAGATGTGTGGGCACAAATAAACACAGTTAGCTAGATACATAGCCACTCTGAGCCTCATGATATTGACTTTTAAAACTGGGGCTGTAATGAATTCCTCTACACATATTTGTTGTAAAATATTTGGTGTAGAAGGCTTAATTCTCTTCTGGACCTGTAGAGAATGCCTGAAAATAGGTATGATTATTATATTTGTTATTGGCAACCAATCGCATTCACAAAGACAGATTATTAATTCCCAATAACGATAATCAAAGCCAAAGAGATGTCACACTAAGACTGAGGAATGGCATCTAAAGGAAAGTACAATAAATACTACATTCTTCAAGTATTTGCATTACTCCTGAAGTATTCCTATTAATCAAGGCTTTTTGTGATTTGGCTGTTCTATTTATTAAGAAGTTAATGTTTGAAAACCAAAGCAGTGAGATTTGAGATCATTAATGTAAAAGGATGTTTTAATGAGGCAAAAATCTTTAAGAAAATTCAAGAGAATCACTAGAGAATCAAAAGAGAATAAAGGGCAACGAGAAATATCAGAGGATTTAGTAAGTGAAGAAGCATGTTGACCCTTATGAATAAATAGTTTTATTACACTCTACTGAAAATAAATTCTAGTGTATAATATATGAAAACCAATCAAATTTCAAAAGAGCGAAATAACACAATTTGTGGATATAAGCAATAACATTTTTAAAAATTTACATGTTTTTAAGACTTGTTTAATTATATGTTACCTAGAAAAATATTTTATAAAAACATATGTAAGGATAAATACATTAGTAAATATGAAATACAATTAATATTGCTATACGAAGATTATAACTATTCCCTTGGAAGAAAATACTAAATTTTTATATTCCAATTATTTGGCTAGCTCTAACCATTTCTCTGTGTTCATTTTTTTGTGTGTGTGACCAGTAAGGGATTGCAACCCTCGGCACGGTGTGGTCCGCACCACGCTCAGCCAGTGAGCGCACTGGCCATCCCTATATAGGATCAGAACCCGTGGCCTCGGTGCTACCAGCACCACACTCTCCCAAGTGAGGCACGGGGCCGGCCCCTGTGTTCATTTTTTCAAATTGAAACAAACTTATAAGTTAAATACACATTGGTTTTTCCAACTCATTAAAGTCTTTTCAAATAGTTGCTATTTACTTAGTAATACTCTTCACCCAACCATTATATAAAAAGTATTTTAAAACCTGATGTAATAAAGTTAAAACTTGCCTCCAGGAAGATGAATATAATTTGAATCAACTTTTTATTCATGGCTGCCCAAAAACATTTAAATGCAAACTTATCTTAATTTAAGCAAAATAAGAAAAGTACATTTCGATAAAACCAAAAGTTGTAAAAAATGATTTAATAAAATAAATACATTCCCTACACATTTATTGTCACTTTTTAGTTTAAAAGCAAGAAAAAAATACATTACTTGTAATTATTATATCGGAGAGAGTTGAATATAATCCATGCTTCTGAAAATTGTATTTTATTTCAATTCATTTACATTTTTAAATAAACAGAGTCTGTGGCTAAAATTCTACAAAATTATCAAGTATCCTATCACTTACAGCTTGAAAATTCCAGTGGACAGGAATGTTCATCCATAGGAAAGTTATGAAGTTGAAGGTAACATTCTGCATTAATTGTCAATCTATTTATAAGGAAAAATAAGCATTAAATAAAGGGAAATATTTTTAAGCATTAAAAATATCTTGTCTGATTTTAAAACATTATTTTGGCCTACAGTAATAGATTGTGACTTATTAGAACATAATAGTAATTCTAAATTATCAGTCTTAAATAGTAATATTACAACATTCATAAATGAGTGTTGTGAACCTTGAAAGAACCAGTCCTTCAAGATGGATCTTGAAGTGGCTAACTGGTTTCAAATTCAAACTGGAGCCAAGTAACCATTTGCTAACTAGAGATTACACACGGACCCTGTTTGGGACTTCCACAAACTACCTATTCTCTGTTTATGCCTTTGGTCAACTGCCATAACCTGAACTTAATCAATGGACTGTAAGTTATCAAGTCTTAACTGGCCAGAACTCAGCAAGCCAGAACTGCTGAATCAATCAGGACTGAACAAGCTTGAATCTCTCATTTGCATAGAGGACCTGAGAAGGAACCCAGACAGGACTTTTTGCCATATAAAACTGTCTCTTTCTTTATTCTGGAGGAGCCCGTTTTCATTTGCTGCCTGTCCTCATTTGCAAATTGTTTGCCAAATAAAGTCTCCCTTATCTCAGTAAAATTTGCTAACATTTCAAAAATTTAAACATTTTCCTCTGCAAGCAACTAAGTCACCTCTTTAGACATTCTAATGTGATCTCTGCATTTACATTTAAAACTTCATACTTCAGGATCTTGACAAACATATGCAAGCACACACATGTGTGCACACACACCAGATTAACAGAGAGTTTATGGTTAAGTATTGCGACTTTTTTCTCTTAATTTATCATGAATATCTTTCCATTAAAGATGATTCTTAATAAGCAGATATGTTCAAGGCAATGAATTAGATAAACTTGAACCTCATACATTAATCTTCATTTAATCCTTTTTTAGTGATGCTTTACTACACTGCTGAAAATCAGAGTACTATAAAATTTTATAGCAGGATGGGCATCTAGAGAAAATCTCAATCATCTTCATTATAGGTTAAAAAACCATAATGTTCACTCTACAACCTCTTCTGCTTCAAACAGGGAAAATCATTTTTTTTTTTTTTTTTTGGCTTTTAGTCCTTTTCACATAAAAGTAATTCTGAGCTTAAAAAGGTATTGCCAAAATACCTCATCATTTTAAATTTTAGAGGATGAAAGGAGTTCCATATTTTTTACTTTGCAACTTTGAAAAAGAAAAAATTAGGAGCTGATGAGATATTAGTAAGGGAAATAAATTAGAGCAACTACAAATTTTTAAAACAATACTACCTTAGAGTATATAGAACTCGTCCATCATTCCAAATTCGAAGTAGACGATTAGGAGTTGTTATCCAGTGAGCATCAGATTTTCTTGAATTTCTGAAGAAAGTGTCAGGAATCCAAATTTTTCCAACCATATTACTGTTAAGCATAAGCACTTTCATGGTACTGTTAAATTTTAAACGACTGTCAAACCAGGTTTGGGCAAAAATTATATCTACTGTATATTCCTGAAAGATAAAAAAAGAAGAGTTAACCACATGTTATTAAAGCCACTATTTTAGATGTTGTCCTCAAAAGTTTGAATTTTTATATTAAAAAGTTCCTGCAAGTAAACAGCACTTAATCTCAGCCTTTTGAGTATACAGAAATGCCATCATCTTAACTTTTCTTTTTAATTCTTTATATGAGTCATGTAAAATAAAATTGAGATTTCCAGTAATTACTGCTGCCCAGTGCAGCTTTCTTTTTTTTTTCTTTTCTTTTTTTGTAAATTTTATTCAAGATTTTATGGTATGTGGATATAGCAATTAAATACAAAAGAAAATTCTCTTAATGTTAACAATTAATTAATTTTTGTGATATTTATGTGGTGTTTAAGGAATTACAAAATCAAGATGTGAATTTCCACCAGCTTATGTAAAAGCCCTTACATTGTCCTTTGTCTGAAAAATTAATCCCAATTATCTATATCCACTGTTTTTAAATAGTTTAAAGTAACTACAAACAAACCTATTGAGCAATTATAACATGCCAAACAGTTAAGAGTTTTCTCATGTATCATGTCTCTAAATCCTTACTATAATCCTGTGAAATAATCTTTATTTCTTAGTAACATGTAGTGAGTAATAGAGAAGTGAAATAATTTTCCCCACATCACAGACCTAATAAACAGCTGATATGGAAACTGAGCCACCACGTATAATAAGGGTCATAATGAGGACAGATGCATTCCAAGATCAGAGTAAAACAAAGGGTTTGTTCATAATCAGCAAGTAACTGTAAATAGGGATGATTATGAAGAACTTTCAGGAATAGCTAATTAGGTATTACCTACCTTTGAATCCTGACAAAATGCCTGCCATATTATAAGCACTAAAATTTATTTGAAAAAATTAATGATCAGGAATGCAGCAATAATCAATGCAGTGGAGGAAAGGAAGTAAAAATATATGTGTGTGTGTATGACTTTGATATTAAAAGAGGAAGAAAAGTCAATTGAAAAATGTAAAGTATTATGTGAGTTACATATGGTGGCAGAGATTGGTAGCCTGCACGTGATGTAATATTAGCAATTAGCCAATTTACCTGAAGGAAAATATTTAACATGAGAAATGGAAGTATAATTAGGAGTTTGACTAATGAATGAAAAATTGGAATAAAATGTCAGGGAGACTAAGAAGTAAACAGACTAGGAGTCAACTTATTAATAGGGAAGTTGGATCAAAACCTAGGGAAGTTGGACTCAGGCAGAATATTTATAACTACAATTTGCTTAGCTGGAATATAGAGATAAACTGAGAGAGAAATCTCATTTTTTATATTTTGGATGAGCAACATTGCAATTTCAGAAAAGCACATACAAATGAATAATTATATAAAATCCAACAATGGTCCAGATAGTATGTAACTGAGTAGGAGATGTATGTTTTATAAAGGAATTAAGATATATATATATATATACATATATATATATAATTATTGTTATTATAAATAGGGATAAATAAATAAATTATAAACAATTTATCCATGTAATTATGTAATAATGTGTGATCATTTAATAATCTACCCATATATTTAGCATCTAGTGTACACCAGTCATTGTTTTCCATGATGTGAAGACATAAAGTCCTTGGTGCAAAAATACTTGCATCATGACACTGCATCAATACTCTCTTACATCGATACTGTCTTCACATAATCTTGGTTGCCATGCTAGAGAGGAAGACATTTAAAATTTTGCTTTTTGCAACTATGTATGAGATGGCACAGAATCAAACTGTGCTGTGGAATACAGGCTTAAAGTACTTCTGCAACCAGGTAAACCTTATAAATTCCATAGCCACAATCTTGCTGATGCATTAGGTGTTATGACTCCTGCTGAGTCATAATGGAAAATATATCCCATAACACATAATAACGAAGCATTATTTATGCTGTAGATGCTTAATCATTTTATGGAATAATAACAATTGAGTGGTACATTATATGAGTATGTATTTTGGAGGGCCAATGGACCATTGTGTACAGTATCACTGGTGTACCACCTCCGTGAACCTTGTGGAAAATTCTTGGAGAACTTCACTAAAGTTATCTTTAATCCCTGTTCTCGCCTCCTGCTTCTCAGGCCAGATGTCTTTTCTTTGGAATCAATTATGACTTATTCAAACAGCTTCTTCACCTGACACAAATGATTAACTGTTCAGAACCTAACAGTGCAACCTCTGCTAATGGCATCATCGTTTCTGCTTTCAATGGTAAATGCAAATAGAAAGAAGGCTCATACTCATTCTATGTTAGACTCTGAAAAGAGTATTTAATCTAAGTTATTTGCTGGAATTTCATTGTACTTTTGTGTGGGATAAAACAGCAGAAACTGTTTAAGATATCAACTGGGATTTTGGCTTGTCAAATATCCAACACTGGTAAAAGGAACCTCATGCTACTAGGTAGGTAAACTGGGCGGCAGTATTCCAAAAGGCATTAAAGGTGGCAGTTGAGAACCAATTTGTCTAGGGGTGGAGTTTTGCAAGCAGCTGTGAATTCTGCTTAGCAGTTGGCAGAACCTTCTTTAGAATACCTCATTCTAAAAGTGCTAATCACTGGTGGAAGGGTTATGATTTCCAAGGCATCAAATTTTCCTAAACAGAGAATCTTGAGGAAATGTGAAAAGTTTTCTACTCACAATTGTTCTCTCAATCTATAATCAAGGTGAGAAGTCTGTGTCTTGATAACCCATCCTTCCCAAGCTCTTTGCAGGGGCTAATACTCCCAAGCCCTTTTAAATTGCTAATCCTTGATAAATGCTTCAGAGATAAGAAAGTCATTAAAGTCTGTTATTTTATATGTAATCAAAAAATCCAATTTCATTTACTCATTTGTATCAGTGTAATTTCCAGAAAATGTTCAAACTGTGTTCTTGTACTTCATGTTCCTGCTTAGAGGTTATAATTATCTGCATAATAAATAAGCAAAGAAAACATAAAACGCAACTACCATTCACTCAGAACTACAGATACAATAGCTTTTAGGATAAACATTTTGAAATAAGGAGCAGTGCATTTAACATTTGAGATACAACATACATTTTGTGATCTACCGTACCTCCTTGCAAGTTAGCTAACACAACATTAATGAATAAACATGAAGAAGTGAGCCATCCTGATTTCTGACAATCGTATCAGACTTTAATTGATGAAAGTGTGTAGTGTAGTCTAATACTTCATTGTCAGCTTTGCAACTATGCACTGCATCTCACTTTTTAAAGTACCAACTAATTCAGTATTACTGTCTTCCTAGTAATGGGATAAATTTCACACAAAATGCAAGACTCACCCAAGCAATTAACCCAGATGCATAATTTCTTCATGAAGTTTGGTTGATCCTTATCTGTTATTCACACGTTGACATTAATTTCTCCCTAAACTTTCCAATCACATAGCCAAAATAGATTGGTGGGCTAAATCATGGTTAGCAGTAAATTAGACGCCAGAGCTATACACACGTAGAGAAAAGATACAAGTGCAGCTAATTCATAGCACAAAGAGCTTTGATGGCAAAAGTTCATAGTGATCAGCTCCATTTTGCTCAATTTCTGTAAAAGCACCAGCTTCTTTATACTATCACAATGAGATAAGTTAAAAACTCAGAGTTATTCTATTTTCAAATGGAAAAATTAATAAGAAACAAAGACAATATGTCAGCTGCTTAAATCACTGAAGTCATCCTACGATACATTGAGAGAGATTCAAAAAATAGACATGAATCCTGGATTCAACTACTAATCCTTTCGGCTTATTTTTATGTCTGTGAATGTAGATTTTCAAAGGCATACAACATCATGTGCAGTAGTCAATTAACTATTTTAGCAAATATATTATTTCAGTTCTAGTTACTTCAATATTGTACTGTTTATAAGATGAAAATGGACTATCTTGTTATGAATGTATACATAATAAAAATTGGAAATTAATAAAACATGGGAGAGGTAAGAAGAAGTGAAATAAAAATAATAGAGATTATTTTCATCTAAGGGGAAATTAAGAAAGACTTCATGAGGGAAGTTGTATTTAATCTGAACACACAGGAACATCTAGATACATTCTGGGGTCAATTAATAAGTATGGTAGAGGGGTACAAAGAGGCAGTAAAATGCAGAGTGTAATAAGAAAATTAAAAAATGCAAGCCATATATAATACAATGTTGTGTACTTTCTGTATGTCAAGCAATGTGCATTCCTCAAATACACCGACAGGGTCTTCTACATCTGGAAGAATTTTGGGCAACTTTATGTAAAATTACCAATTTTCAGTAATTGACCTCAAAACTTAGACATAGCTCTGAACCCATACATTGCTGAAATGGGAATTATGAACTGAAAGTCCTAATACTTCATCTGTTTATCATGCATAATTCTTATCATACATTTCCTACTGAATATTCTACAATATTCTATACACAGTCTAAAAGAGTAAAACATCAAATTTAGTATACTCGAAAAACAGCTAAGCCCTATAAAGGATACAAATAAATAATAAATTATTCCCAGCTCTTAAGAAATTTATACTGTAATGGAGAGGATAGGGTCAGCTTCCAGGTATATTCACATTATGTACCCTAATCTCAGGTGAGCTTTTATTAGCCAGGATTCTCCAGAGAAACATTAAAAATAGGACAGACGAACAGATGGGTGAATGGATAGATAGACAATAGATGATTGATGATGATGATGATGATGATGAGAGAATATAGACGGATTTATTTTAGGGAACTGGCTCATTTGATATTGTGGGGGCTGGCATGTCCAAAATCTGAAGAGCAGGCTGGTAGCTGGAGAACTGAGGAAGAGCTAATGTTTCAGTCTTGAGTCCAAAGGCAGTCTCGAGGCAGAATCCCCTCTTCCTCAAGGGATCTTAGTCTTTTAAGCCTTCATCTGATTGGATGAGGCCCAGCCACATTATAGAGAATAACCTGCTCTACTCAAAGTCTACTGATTGAAATGTAAATCAC